GCCCAGCCACAAGTCAGCAGCGCCAGGCAGAGCAGAGCGCACCACCGAGGGCTGCCCGGGCTGGGGCCAGGCTGCGCTTCTGGCACTTCTTGCCTCTCCTCAAGAGAGCAGCCTCCCTGCTCCTCCTTGGCTCCGCTTCCTTCATCCAGAGAGTAAGAGAGCATAAACCTTGCTTGTCTGGGCTCAGCTCTTGGAGATCCCGAGTGTCCTCCAATGGTGCGGTGTGGTTTGTCGCATCCCCTTCTGTTAGGTTCATCAGGCCGCACAGGTCAGCTGTGTTCTGCTCCTCAGCATGAATTCAGGGCACCCACAGGGTCCCTTGTTTCCCTTTTGCCACACTTTTGGTCCCCACTGCAATGCCCCAGTTCTGCACCGTTTACAGAGTGCACTTTTCCCCTGCATAGAGAAGAAACAGAAATGGAGATGGCACTCTCTGTAAGCAATGCTCAGGATGAGCCACAGGTAGCAGGTACAGAAACAGAGAGAACAATAAGAGGAATGTGTAGCTGCAAAGATTTTTCCAGGCTCAAAGTCAGGATTCCTACATCTCCTTGGACTTCACAAGATTTATGGAAAGTTCTACGCTAGAAAGTACGGAGAAGACAATTACCAAAGCAAGATACGTGGTGAGCTCTTCCACCCAGATGCAGCCCATAAGCCAGTGTTACCTTTGCTCCATTCTTCCCTCTCGGTATAGTTTCTTCCTGCGCAAAGAAGGGCAGTCCTGAGCAGGAGCTCCTGATTAGGGCACGGCCTCCTGCTTCGCAGCAGCCCCTTTGGAAATCCACATTTGTCAGGGGCTCCTGTGGGAACATATCCCCTGTATGCATGTTAATTAACCCAGACTTAGCAGATGAACAAACAAACCAAATGTTGTCCCTTCGTCTGTACTGAGCCATTCCTAATAACTAGCTCAGACGTGGTGGCATCACTCCCCTTTTAATCTGTTTTAGAGATGGATAATATGGGAATCTCCCTCTTCCAACACTGGCTTAGAGCACTGAGCTAGAGAAATCAGATTTATCTCCTTGGCAAGAATGACTATAAAAAAGATCAACATCAAGAGCATGCTTCCAAGAGTTCTACTGAACGTGGGATCCCCACATGAAGATGCTCATGGGAATGAGGAGAGTACCACGAGACCACAGCCAGCTCCTACCGTTCCGCTTTTCAGGTCCTGTGGCTTTGTCTGTTTCAAGAGTGCACTGGGAAAGTTCTCTTGAGGGTACACCCTGGATGGAAACACGAGCTGGTCCTGGCACTGGGAACAGGAGATAGTACCTTGCTGCTCAGCAGAATCAGTTTGCACCCTGCTATTGTGAGCAATAGCGAGCTCGGTCTCCTTGCATTAGGCTTTCCTGCTGGTGGATAGCATTAGACATGCCACAGAAGCAGAGGTGGCTGGTGGGGAGCCTGTGGGGAACCCCATGCGATGCATACCCATAGAAACAAACCTTTTCTGACAGCACACAGGCTTTCCTCCGTGAAGAGTAAGTGCCTCTCCTGCAATTGTCTCCGTGACTCCAGCATTGCTCCCTTTGGAGGAAGGCAGGTGCAAGGAGGGTTTTCCCAGAAACAGCAGGGAGAGGTTTCTGAATTAACACGCTGCCACAGGAACGGGGTAATGGCACCCGGTTCCTGGGACAGGGGTGTCTCCCAGGGCCAGGCTCCATTAAAGCACCTGCTGTTGGGTACAGCACTGCCCTGCAGCAGAGTCCTTTCTCTGTCGGGGCTCAGATGCTTTTCAGCCTCTCTTAGGCTTTCTCTTTTCCATTTAGCTTTTGTGGCACAAGTTTTTCCAGAGCACATCCATCTGACTTGAGGAACCTTTTTTTTTCCTCACCCAGCTGTATTCCAGGTTACTGTTTTCTTGCCTCTCTGCTTTTTAAGGGGCTGTACAAGACACCTTCCATATTAGGATTTTTCTGGACTTTGAAACCTTTCAAGCTAGCTTCCACTTAAAAAACCACAACCAAACAAAAAATCCTTTTAATCTGAATCTCAGTGGAGTGATGCCAGGATTTTTTAAAGCTTCTTCGCCCAGATGCAACAGTTTGGCGACTGTTTGCAATAATTTCTACTTAGTTTAGCTGAGTATTTACTTCTGTAAAAGAATACCTCCCCTCCCTGCTGAAAACCTGATTTTCAGTTGGAACGGCTTCACCTTGCTTCTAGATGAGAGGAAGGAGGATGTGTACATCAGAAATTATTTATTTTCACTGGAATAATTTTCTTCTATGGTGACTTGTCTTGGTTCCCAGCAGAATTAAGCATGAGCTGTAGCTTTCCTCCCTGTAGTTGTCCTCCATAGATTGGCCAAGCGCTCAAATGTGACATTTTCTTTTGATGATGGAAGATATTTACGCTTGCATTCTGCCTGTTTGCAGAGTACCGACAGCCCCAGGAGGGGCAGTGGCACAGGGAAGTACCTGGCTGCCTACCTCCAGCCACGGCAGCCCAAAGCTAAGCGTTAAGGCCTGGGCTTAATGCCTAGGAGGAGGCTGAGCTGTACCTTTCAGTTAGATACCAGTGTGAACACTGGAGAGTTTCAAGATGTTCATTTAAGGGGCAAGGAAATGAAAGATGCTGCCTCTAGGAGAAGGATCTCTGAGTGAGGAGGGTAGGGGCGGAAGGACAGGGAGATGCTGGAGTACTTCATGGTGAGGTCTAAGAGAGGCCTTTTCCTACTTTTTAAAAATAAAAATACCTGCACCTAAGTAAGAAGGTAGAGGAGTAAGAAGGGAGGAAGAATAAAAATTTTTGCTCCTCGGGTTTAATTAGAGAGCCTCAACTTGCTATCATTGGCAGTTTGCCTTTTCCCATCCCTTGTCCACAAAAACACTACTGGATCTTTTGCTGTGTCATAAGTGGCAATTTCCGTTCAGTTTTACTAAAGGGCGCCTTAGGCAGAGAGCTTTAAGCAGAGTAGGAAACTGCTGGCCTGGGTAAGTTCTACCACTATCACCCCTCTTAACTGTGACAAATGAAAACCAGAGATTGGAAGTTTAGAAAATCCAAATCCAGTCACTTGGAAGCAGACATCCATTACAGCAGTTAAATGAGGGCAAGCCGTGCTGCATCAAGGGGCCATTGGTTTTGGTGCAGGGTGGATGCCTGCTTGCAAGGGCAAGGGAGGGAGACAGGACCACACCTGTGGGTACAGCTGGAGCTGCTGGTGGCCACAGCGGAGGGGGACCTCACTGAGCATGCACTAGTTGCCCCAAGGACGGGCTCCCCAAATGCATCCAAGCCCCCAGGTTAACTCAGGGGATCTCTCCCATCTTTCTATTTCTTGCACAGACACCGAGAAGTCCCAGCAAAACCAGACGGACGACTCCAACCCTGAAGACGGCTCACTCAAGAAGAAGCAGCGGAGGCAGAGGACACACTTCACCAGCCAGCAGCTCCAGGAGCTGGAAGCCACTTTCCAGAGAAACCGTTACCCAGACATGAGCACCAGGGAGGAGATTGCAGTCTGGACCAACCTGACGGAGGCACGAGTCCGGGTAGGACTGCAGCCCTCCCACCTTCCCAGGCCTGAGCTTGTGGGGAGGAAGCCGGCTGTGATGCAAGCCACCAAGCTGTCCCCAAACCAAGGAAGGAATTAGGGGTACTAGAAAATTGCCCTGTCTTGAAAACACCTCACCAGGCTCTACACGCGAGATTTGACACATCCAGCCACACACATACCCCATGCTGGTGGTGCCTTCCTCGTCCAGTGCCACCTTGCAATAACACAGGGAGATGCAAAGCCCGGGCTCTGCCCCACAGAGTCCCACCAGCTGGCTGCCCCAATCCAGCAGACCCCTTCCTTGCAGTGCCATCGTCCCCCAGCCTTAGCCTTGCTGGAGGGCGGTCTTTGGGGTTCCAAAACCACTCTACAGTCACAGGCATAGTGTGGCAGGGCTCCAGCTGGAATGAGAGCTTCTCTCCGCTACTAGAAATATGAGTTAGCAGCACCATGAATAGCCTTCCAGCAGCTTCTGTGCTCTAGGAAGTTATATTGTTTTAGTCCCTCCAACACTAACAGATTTTCCTGTTAGAAGACAGACTTCTAACACCCCACCCCAAGCTGGTCCTGAGGTGAAGGCAAAACAAGAGAAGTTATTTCCTCCACTCAGCAGCTCTCAAACCACATCCCCCAAATACTTTGCTCCCAAGTCACACAACCCCAACCCCTCCTCCTGGGAGCTGGGGTCACTTGGAAATACAGCAAGTATTTTCCTCCCTTTTCCTCATATAAAGGGCATCCATTTGTTGAGTGAGGTGGGTTATTCTGTGTGTTGTAAAATGGCAGTGGTTGGGTTTTGATCTAGGTGGTGGTTCTCGCTGGGAGATGACCCTGCAGCCCAGAGGTCTTGCTGCAACCCTTTCCTGGTGCTCAGCCTCCCAGTTCCCTGGGAGCATCCCCGGCCCTTCAACAGCTCTTGCCTTGCTGTGCAAAGAGACCAGAGCAAAGCTTCTTCCAGGGACAGCTCAGAGTGGTTCCCATCCCCTCTCTCTCTCTCTCTCTCTCTCACACACAGGTCTGGTTCAAAAACCGCAGAGCTAAGTGGAGGAAACGGGAGAGGAACCAACAGGCTGAACTGTGCAAGAACAGCTTCGGAGCCCAGTTCAACGGACTGATGCAGCCTTATGACGACATGTATTCCAGCTATTCCTACAACAACTGGGCCACCAAGGGGCTCGCCACCAGCCCACTCTCAGCCAAGAGCTTCCCATTCTTCAACTCCATGAATGTCAGTCCCCTCTCCTCCCAGCCCATGTTCTCCCCACCCAGCTCCATCGCCTCGATGACTATGCCTTCATCCATGGTCCCTTCCGCCGTGACCGGAGTACCGGCCTCCAGCCTCAACAACCTGGGAAACATTAACAACCTGAACAGCCCAAGCCTCAACTCTGCTGTCTCATCCAGTGCCTGTCCTTACGCCTCAACAGCCAGCCCCTACATGTACAGGGACACATGCAACTCCAGCCTGGCCAGCCTGCGGCTGAAGGCCAAGCAGCATGCTAACTTCACCTACCCGGCGGTGCAGACGGCAGCTTCCAATCTGAGCCCTTGCCAATACGCCGTGGACAGGCCCGTATGAAGGGCTGCCCTCCGCCAACCAGGGACTTGACCTTAGCCTGACAAAAGGAGACCTTTAGCTCTACAACAGCATATGTCCTGCAGAGAATGAGAGTGAACACGAGAGAGCAAGAGAGAGTGAGAGCGAGCGGCGAGCAGGCAGATGGACCTCTATGAAGATTTGTCTAACTATCGTATGGTGAATTTTGACTGTCTTTCCCCTCCCAAACCCCTTCCCCTCTTGCCCACCAAACCTCCTCCTTCATGGTAAAGAAACCAAAAGAGTCTACTGGAAGCCCCATGGGGAAAGAGGAGCCCCGACATGCAGGGTGCTTGACCCGTGGACAGCAGAACCAAGTGTGTTTCAGTCTGCCCCTCCAAGCCCCCCAGGGGTGAGCTCCCCAAATGCCCAGGACAGCATGGGCAGCTGGACACCACCCCTGCAGGGAACAGCCAGGGACAGGGCAATGCAGGGGCTGCCATTCGGTGCTTGGTTGACCCCTTCTCCCTGCACATGTGCAAGATTTCAGTTAAAGGCATCTTGCCCGCTTATTTATCACACAGCCAGTAAGGAAAGCCTTGACTGAGTCGATTGGCATCTCTCTTTATAATGCATATGTACACATGGCCTTTCAGACTTGAAGCCTTTAGGAACTGGGAGTTGTAAGGATATAAAATATGTGTGTGTGTGTATATATATATCATATATATACAAATACATATATAGACGTTAAAATATGCTTTTTTGTTTTGTACATGAAATAGCCTACAAAGTAGACTTTAAAACCAAAAGCCCTGTAAAGCAAGTACATCCACCGAGGCGGCATCCTGCCTGTCATGCTTTACTGCTTCAGTCATTTTCAGTCAGACAGGAACACCTTTGCCAGTGTACATCCAAAGCGTCCCCTTTTGCAACAATCAGCTCCCCCTTGCACATCTTTTCCCTTTCCCTTCTCCAAATCCCATTTCCAAAAAAAGATAATAAAATAAAAGTTGGCACAATCCCTTTAAGGCTACTGCCTGTCTGGTTATTGAGAGCATGAACCTGTGTCTGAAGACTCAGAAATCAAGCACCAGCAGCCCAGGCAAGAGTGAGCATCCTTGGGAGTGCCAGCACGAGGCAGCCCAAGTTGGAACAGGGACCTGAGGTTTGGAGGAGCCATCTCTGTTCCTCATTTACAAATCATCTGGCTCCTCAGGACATCAAAAGCCCACGGACACGGTATGAAGGTGAAAGCAAGCCCCTTCAGTGCTCCCTGTCTGCATGCACCCACTGTGGCAGGAAGATCGAGCCTCTCCTGGCTCAGGCTTCCCTGCCGTGCTGGATGGGGCCAGTGCATTTGGGCTCCCAGCAGCCCAGGGTAGGGGAGCCCTGCCAGGCACTCCCGCTCTGAACAGCGGTCCCCAGGGGAGAGCCTGGCTGCAGCAACCTGCCCTGCTAGCCTGCCCCTGCACAGTTTCTGTTGGGAAAGCTGTAAAACAGAGGTGGGTCTCCCGAGATGTACATGCACCACGGGGATCTGCTGCTTCAGCCAGTGCAGAGGGATGCAGTGGGTTCCTCCAGGGGCCCAAGGAAGCTCCACGAGCAGCAGGGGAGCAGGACATCCCTACCCAGTGCAGCCTCCTTTCCCTTCATCAGGCACATGCTCCAAGGGGAAAGCACAACCCCAATATTTTACTTTTTTCTTAGGAAAACAAACAAACAAACAAAAACCCAAAAAACCAAACACATCACCATAACAAACTATCTTACTTGGATGAATGGGACAGGCAAACTGGCATAAATCAGGTTTCTTCAATGTTGTTAGCATGCAGAGAGGAAGCAAGTTCTTTGGTAAGAAGGGATCCTCACTAGGACACTGTAAGAGGTCCCTCACAAGCAAATCATATGAGCCACTCAGTCTTCACCAAAGCCTATTCCACGGGGAGCAACTGCTGCTGAAGGTATTGGTGAGCAGATACTGAAAGCAGTCACAGATGTCAGCCCAATTTCATTGTAACAAAATTATTCTTTGCTCTGAGCTAATCCACAATGAGGGAGCCAAGTTACCCTGCACTGAAACAGCTACCCCTGAAAGCACAGCCCTATCTGCAATGTGTAAAGAACAAGCATAAACATCTACAACATAGACGCAGTGCATCCAAGATGACCATTCATTGTAACCTGGATCCTACCTTGTCGCTGGGCTGCAGTGCTGCTGAGGTGGCTCCAGTGGTTAGTCTCCGTTCTGTGCCAGAGCCTCCATCCAGCAGCCTTCCCCCCAAACACATGCCTCGTCTTAGTGCTATTGTGCTTAACTCTTCTCTGCCACAGCTCTTCCCCCTAAGGGAAAAAAGAAGGGCCTGGGCTTCTCTCTAATATCCTCTCCTCCACTGAGCCTGACTCGCAGCTGAGTCCAACTCCTCCCCCTGATAACCCAAGCCAGGTGGTGCCACAATCTTCTCCTACTCCTCGATGAAGGAGGTAAGCTCTTTGCACACCTGGTCCTTCCCCTACACCCTTTCCATGCACCCTGCCCCTCCACCCCATGCTGATCTCAAGCACAGGTGGGAACACTGCAAAGCCAGAAAAAGCACCTCTCATAAAGACACAGCTTTGCCTGGAGAAGAAATTGAAGGGAGAACCAGCTTCCCCTTCACTTGGGTGATGTGTCTATGGAGGGAATGAAAATTCTCCCTTCTCTTCTCCCCGGCTGAAGCCAAGAGCAACATGAGCTCCTCCTTCCCTTTTAACCTGCTCTAGTAGCTGCTCTTTGCCTTGAGCAGTTTCTGTGCAGCTTTGGTTGTTCTTCATGTTGCTATGATGCTTGTGAAGATCCTCTACTTGTCCCACAGAGAAGATGAGGTTCGGTTGGGGTGGGGGCGTACAAGGCTGGCTGCTGCAGACTGTTGCAGGATTCAGCCGATGAAAGATATGCCCAAATATACAGAGCAGAAGGCGAATTCCAGCACGTGGTTCTCATGATCTCCTGTTGGAGCCAGTGGGGAAAAGCCAAGACCTAGTTTAGGTACTGATTTTTCAGCCTAAGGTTTTCCATGCAGTCATTTCAATTCATGTTATGCCAGACCAGTCTGATTTCTGAGCAGGACAGACTCAGTCAGTGCCCACACAAGGCAACTGGTGCATGCAAGTGTGCGGCCAGTGGCTCTGCAGGCTGGCTAGATGGTTCAAGTTCCTCCTTCCTAATCCTGTAGGGAGAAGATGGTAAGGTCTGTTTCTGCAGTCAGAGGTATTGCACCGTGTAGGATCCAGACCAGATGGCAAACCACACACCAGCTCTGTGCTGAGAAAGCTTTGTACAATGGCACCAAATAGCTGACATAACCTCGGGAAAACCTTAAAGTCTGCAGACACCAGAGATTGCCAACAGTAAATAAAGAAGTGAGCAAGTTGGCAGCAGAGAGCTCTGGGAGAGGTCCCCTGCTTTCCAAATGCCACCTGCCTTCCTGATGCAGCAGAGCTAGTACAGCCTCCCACATTCGGCTCCCTCCCCATGAGGCCAGGTCATGGACATCGTGCTCTCTGGTCCAGCACAAATATGGCAGGTGTCCTACAGACCTTCTCCAGGACCTCTCTTTCTCACAAGTCCCCAGTACCTCCCTAGCTGTATCTCCTTGGTACTGCAACCCAAGCAGGTGGTTTTTAGCAGGATCCTGCTTATTCTAAAGATCTGTTAGGCAAGTAACTTTGTCACTGGATACTTCCCAATCTGCGGACTTAGCAAGTGCACATTCTCCTCCATCATCCAGGTCATTAATGGAAATGCTGTACAAAACCAGACCCGGAACAGATGTCCCTGACCTTCACTCAACAGATCCCTTCCTTTTCAACAGCGAGCGGTAGATACTCTCTGGGTATAATTATCCAATGGGTTTTGTACCTACCCAACATCCCATCTACATCATCCTTAAAAGCCACTTAAATGGCAGACAGGGCTCTTCTTCACCATGCCCTTACCCTGTCATAGAGGAAAATCAGATTATTTTGACCAGATTCTGTTCTTGACAGGTCCATGTGGCTCCTGCTCATCTCCACTGCTTACAAGTAGTGAGATTATTTGTTCCAGCATTTTTTGGGCAGTGGGTGGGTGAGGGGATTTAACTGTCAGCAGTTCCTGGCTTTTGACCTCAGTCCCCATTTTGAAGGAGGGGTACAAAGCTTGCATTTTACAGTCTTTCCATGCCTCACTGTCCCCCAGTAGTTCTCACAGATAACAGCAAATATTTCTGGGATTGCTTTGTGTGAAGTTCACCATGCCCAGATGGTCTGAAAAATTCCTGTTTACCTAAATACTCTCTTACTTGCACTTTCCTTATTCAGGGCCAGACTGTTAGCCCCCATCACCGGCACGGCTTGTGCTATCCATTTCCCCGTAGCTGTCTTTACCTGAAGGCTAGCGCAAAGTGCACCCAACAGTTGGGTCTCCTCAGTGGCCACCATCAGTGTTTCCCCTCTCTGCTGAAACGCGGCACAGCACCGTCTTTGGTTAGTCTCTTACTGTTAGTACAGTGGAGAGTTGTTTCCTGACATCTCTCGCTTGGTGCATGCCAGCTTTTACCACGGTCTCTCAACAGAGCTCCGACCTGCAGACTGGATGTGAACATCCAAGCTCCTGCTGGAGATATTAAGAACTGGGCTCAGGTAGATGGACAGCTCTAAGAGGCGGATCTAATGTCTGTCTTAATTGCCTTTCAGGAGCTGGTTGCAGGCAGGCACGGGGAAGGCCGGGGAGGGGGTAGGTTCCTGGCCGCCCGCGGAGGCCGGAGCCCCGCGGAGGCCGGAGCCCCGCGGGGCGCGACGGG